TCTCCCCAAGGCTGTGCTCTCTGCTCCTCCAGTGCACTGGGCGGCCCCGGTCTTCTCAGACAGCTGCTAGCTCCAGGCCTCAGTCCACACCGCACCTGCTCCACCTTCCTGAACGAGTGTCTCCTCATTTGACTTCTGGGGCACCCACATGCATCTGATTTTCCTCTTACCTCTCCAACAGTGCCTTCTCTAGCTCCTGACCCTCTGCCCTCTCCTTGAAATCTGGAGTTCACAGCGTGAGCCATCATCTCCTCCGCCTCATACCTCCTCGGGCCAAGTCTGTCTAACCCATCTCCACAGTCTCAGCTTCCATTTTCTGCCCCAGCCCTGGACTCTCCTCAGTCCCAGGGGTCCTGCAGCCTCATACGTGCCACCCTCTGTAACCCCTGAAGTTCCTCACACCCCCAGGTCCCATACTGGCCTCAGTCTCTCCCAGGAGCCCCAGGTTCTGTCTCCAACGTTCTCATCCTCAGGACTGTCCCTCATTGGCAGGATGCCTCCCTTCCTGCACAGCTTGCCAGCTCCACAGACTGCAGGCCTCCCGAGCATCTCCCAGCCATCCTCTCCTTCTCCATCCCCAGCCCCATCTGAGCCCTGGGCTCGGCTGTCCCCTGTGGGCCAGCCTCCACACAAAAGCCTGGATATCTTCCTAAACACCAAATCTACCTTGTCCCTTCTCTACCTAGAACCCTCCATGGCTCCCCAGTGCCCTCCAGGACAGAGACTAAGGCCCTCAGCCCTGCTCTGCCAGCCCCTCTAGGATATAAGCACGACTGTTAGAGATTTAGAAGTCAAACATATGTTTCTCCAAATGCCCAGACAGCCATATGGGTCATTATCAGACACTTGCTAGAACTTCCAGAAAGCAACCAAAACAACAGAACTTGCGAAATACGTGTTAGGAAAGAGAAGCAAAGAATCCCTGAGTGCCATCTTGTGGAAAGACCCAGAACTGCCCCAGCACTAGCCTGCCCCTCCCCCTCAGCAGTCCCAGCAGACCTGGGTCCAGCTTGCACACCCTGTCACCCACCAGCTCCACTTCCAACTTTACCTCCAGACACACCCTGATTATCGACGTGCCATTGCACACTGGCAGCCTGTCACCCCCAGCTTTTAGCCATGCAGTTCCCTCTGCCTCATGCACCCCACCCACACCCTACTCATCCTGAATGTCAACTTAGAAAGATGTCACCTCCTCCAATTCTAAGTCCCCAGGGAGCACCAAGCACCTGGCCTCGGGCACTTGCAACAACACCAGCAGCACTGCTCAATGGCCCTCAGAACCCTGCCAGACTCCCAGCGCCGCCCTACCCCCCTCCTGCACCTCCCTTAAAGCCTGGCAACTGTTAATGACGAAGGCATCGTCGTCATCATTCCCGGGTCACAGGTAAGGAAAGGCAGCCGGTGACACCCACCCGAGTCACCCAGCCAGTAAGCAGGCGACCGGCCTTTCCGCATCTGTACGCCTCCAGCCTGGCAGCAGGACTCCCCTCCACACCCAGCCCGAGCTGCCTGGGGGTGCACTGGGGCCCCCTGGGCCTCGGTTCTCTCTGTACCCAGACCCAACTCTGGCCATCCTGCCGGCCACACTCTGCTTCTCTTCCCTGGTTCATTTGCCCAGAGGCCACAGCCCTGGTGACTGCCTACAGTCAGCCCCAGGAGGGAAGGCATCCCCACATGGGGCTCTGCCGTCCACCCGCTCAGCAAACATGCAGCGCCTTCTCCCGAACCGCCGGAGCCTGGGCTCACCCTGAGCTGAATGGTTTGAGGTCTGATCTGCTGACTGTGCTGAGCCCCGAGGAGGTCAGGGACCCACACTGGTGGTTTCAGCCAACACACTCAGCACTTCTGCCTATCATGGCATTTAAGTGCTCACACCAACCTGTGGGGTGTGCACTAGGACCATCTCTGTTTTACAGAAGGAGAAACTGAGGCCCAGAAAGGGTAAGGCTTGAGGCTTGCCCAAGACCTCACAACTAGGAAGTGCTGCTTCCTGGGACAGAACCCAGCTAGCCTGGTTCTGGGAAGAAGAGAGGGAGACAGCCCCAGCTGGGGAGGGCAGGAAGGAGAGGCGCCCTCGAGGCCCTCCTGCTGGCTCCCAAGTGCGGAAGGGGTTGAGAGGGAGCCAGGCTGTCTGGAGTCCCCTCTCCAGGCTGTAAAGAGCCCTTGGGTGCCAGCCGCTCCAGCGGTGGTGAAGCTCTTCCTCTGCTGTCTCTCCCCTCCATCCATCCATGCTGGGTCCAAAGGCTGCCCTCGGCTCTTCTGTCCACAGTTTGAGGAGGTGGGGGGAATGTCTGGAATCAGTGGGGTCTTGGGGTCCCCGGGACTCCAAGTCAGCTGACCTCTGTCATGACAGCTCTGGTTCATGGTGTGAGTCTTACATGTTAAGCCCATTCTGGTGCCTTGTGTATGGGCTGTGCTCCTAACAACCCCACATAGGTAGCATGTAGATAGCATGACCCAGGGGAAACCAAAGCCCAGAGAAAGGATGTCACTTGCACAAGATCACACAGCAAAAAAGTGGCGGCAGCAGATTCAACCCCAGGGCCTGTGTCCCTAACTGTGATAGCTAGTCTCCCCACCTTGGCCCCAAGAGGAGGATGTCCAGGGCTAGCTGAGAAATCACTGGGGGGTGGAGGGGAAACTGAGGCACGGGGTCAGGCAGGTCATATGGGGTAGCAGGGAGGCAGACGGTGGCACAAGCCCACAGAAAATTTGGTTAATAGTTAATCTAGTGGAGGAGGCTCCCGAAGGGGGTGGGGATGGTCCCAGGAGGGGTGCCAGAGAGAGGGGGCTCTAAGGGGGCAAAAGGTTGGGAAGAGAGCATAGAGGGAGGGGCGCCAGGCAGAGCCAAAGTTGGGGCTCAGGGAAAGGGGCACTCACCCTCCTTCTCCGCCATGTCACAGCCTCTTGTTAATGATTCCCCGGCTGACCTCCTGGGCCGGGGTGGGACCTGTGGGGAGAGGACCGGGGAGGCAGGGCCTGGGGGAGCCCAGCCCAGCCCCAGTGCCCCCAGTCCCAGGCACCCATCCAGGAGGCTGGAGGGACTGGGCCCTGGCCAGAGCACGCTGTGATCATGGACACAGATTGGGCTGGGTTCAAGGATGGGGTCAGTGTCTGCCCAGCAGCTGGGGGGACACCTGGATTTGCAGGGCTAGGGGAGCCCATAGGTGGGCCTGGGGGAGTAGGGAGCTAAGGGTCCAAACTCCTGGGTCTCAAGGAGGACAGAGCAAGGGCTTGAACTCCTAGGTCCTAGGGAAAGAAGGGTTTGGGGGCCCATAACTCCCGGATCTGAAGTGGGGAGAGATGGGGCCAAATCTCTGAGTCTGAAGAAGAGGAGGCTAGAACTCTGAGGTCCTTGGAGAGAGGTCAGAGGGACCACCCTGGGAGTCCCTCTATTGGGAAGTGGGCATTAGTCCCCATGCCTTGGGGACTGGACCTGAGGGCGCTGGTCCTTACCCTGGAGTCCCGCAAGCGGGGGTGGAGCCGAGAGCTGGTGCTGGTTTAGGGTCAGTCTCCAGGCCTGGGCAGGAGCATGGTGGCCCCGCAACAGCGGGTGGCCGGGAGACAGAGGCAGCAGCGTGGGGCCTGCTCGGCCTAGCGGCCTCACCTGAGGAGGAGGGGGCTGGGCAAGAGGCGGGAGAAGGGGCGGAGAGGGGCAGGGCCAAGCGATTGGCAGTGCTGGAGGCCACCTGGCTGGTGGGGCAGGGTGTGCAGGGGCTGGACCATGAGGCCCAGCAACCTGCCTGCTGCCAGCCTGGAGGGGGCCCAGGTGTGCCAGTCTGAGGGGAGGTGGGAGTAGGGACAGACTTGTCCTGAGGGCCAGAGGTTTGGGGAGACAGAGCAGGCTGGGGGCTGCTTACAAGGACTAAAGGATAGGGACACGAATTAGAGGAAACCAGACGGGGGCCCCAGCTGCCCCAAGCCCACCCTGCCCCAGCCTCCTCTCCTGCCTCCTGCCCAGCCCCTGCCCCATCCCAGCTCGGCCCTAACTCCGGCCCTGTCCATCCCTGCCCCTTTCAACACTCCTTGCCCAGCCCAGGCCACACTGCCCCTGCCATTTCCTGTACCCCCTGCTCAGCTCCTGAACAAGGCAGTCCCTGTCCCAGCCCTGTGCCCAGAACCCTCGCCCGCCCCAGCTCCTGCTCCAGCCTCTGTCCCTTCCTTGTCCCCAGCCCAGCCCCAGCCCCCTCCCCCCAGCTGCTTTCCTACAAGTCACGGGGGCTGGTTTGCTTTGGCAACCTCTCCGCGCCCTGCAGCAGTGACCTCTGGAGCAGGCAGGTCCTAGACAGGGGTGGGGGCTGGGGGCTTGGCCCAGGAAGGGCTGCGTGGAGTGCAGAGGCCCAGGCCAAGGGGCCGGAAGTGTCCAGAGGCAGACACACACTGTCCCACCAGCAGCCAAGAGTGTTCACGTCAGACCCCAGGGCCAGATAAACACCCAGACATGCAACGGTCACCATCAGACACCTGTCTGCAGGCAACCGTGCACCAAACAGTCAGACCACAGCTGTTCACTCCTGTGTGCCCTCCTCAGAGCCACGGCCGCCCACAGGGGGACATGCTGCACAGCCTTGGTGCTGCCCCGCCTCTAATTTCTCTCTCCATTCATCTCTCTCTCTCTCTCCCCAGTTCCCAAAGCTCCAGAGGGACTCTGCTTGGAACACAGCAAACCCCACAAAACTCGTCTTGCCCCCCTTCTCTCCACAGTACACCTGCCCTCCAGGGCCACCTTCTTGGCCCCCATCTGGCTCCCTCCCACCCTCCCTCCCACTCCAGTCCCCCACCCCCCGCTGAGCTAGTGATCCCCCAACCCTTACATTGATCAGGTACTAAGCAGCTTGCTGGGCCCTCATTCACCTGTTCCCTCCCCGCCCTTAACCCTGCACGTGGGTGGAGAGGCCCCACTGCCCGCCCAGGAGGGCAGGTCCCAAGAAACCGAGGTTCTTGGATTTTGCAGGGCGGGGATAAAGGGTGGCTGGACTCATGAGAGAGACTATGAATCAAGTCCAAGAATCTTTATTTCATGAACAAAACTACTTGTGTAAAGAGAAACGAGGCTGAATGGGCCCCTTTCTAGTGGCCACAGTCCAAGGCTGGTGAGAGAGGGAAGGGTTGGGCTGGAGCAAGACTGCATCACAGGGAGAGGGAACCCCAGGTCCAGCCAGAGGAAGCAGGAGAGGAAATGTCACTGGGGTCATGTGGGTCCCAGAACCCGTACCGCACACACGGCCCTGCTGGGCAGGGAGGGGGCAGGGTCGGGCTGGGCCCCAGCAGTGCTATTCTGAAGGGGCTGGTGTGTGCGAATCAGCAAGGAGGGGTGCGGAGCCGCTGCCCCCACCTCACCAGCCCCTCCCAAACAGGCAGCAGAAGCAGGGGTGAGGCAGCGGCAGTATTGCTTTACCCATCATGCATGGCGCGGGCGGGTGATGGGGCAGGAGGAAGAAGGCCAGATGAGGGGTGTGAGCCAAGCCACCTGCCCCCTCCCACCCTGGTGGCTCCACTGGCAGGACTCTGAGGCTGTGGAGGCCAAGGAATGGCCAACCCCCACCGGGACAGGCTGTACCCTGATGTTCCCCTTTAGAGCTGGTTCTTCCTTGAGGCGGAGCCCAGGGCCTAAAGGTGCAGGAAAGACAGGGGGTCAGGGACCTAGTGAGCTGACACCCCGCCCCCGGGCCCTCCAGCCCCTGCCCATCCACCCACCTTACCAGGGTTATTCAGCCACCTGGACACCAGTACAGTTCTCTTTGCTTTCTGAGGTGATGGCCAGGTATTCCGAGCTGCAGGGGCAAAGGCCAGGTGTACAGTGGGCCATCTTCAGTCTGGCCCACCCCTGGGAGACTGAAGTGGGTTAGGGTCTCTGCCCCAGGGGCACAGGGCTCCAGAGTGAGAGAGGAGAGGCTGGGGGCTGCACTCAGGGATCTGCCGGGAGTCCTGAGTGTGCGGGCAGGGGGGGCCTGAGGAGGGTATGGGGAGTGGGGTCAGACTCCGGGGTCCTGGACTCACTCCTCTATCTTCAGGGGAAAGGACGCTGGGCCTGAACCTTGAGTCCTGAGGGAAGCAGGGGCTGTCTGAGGGATGGCAGGCTGGGACCTGACCGGAGCCTCATCCCCTCTCTGACAACAAACGCTCCCCTCTGGGAAGTCCCAGATGTCTTGGGCCACCTCCCCCCTCCTCACTGACCCCACTCACGCATTCTCTTGAGCAGCAGCTTCCGTGGCAGCAGCGATCTTCTTGTAGCAGTAAATCATCTCTGCCACAAGCCATATGGTCAACACCACGATAAGCACATACATCATGATCTCAGACACGATGGACGCCATGTCTCTGTTGGCTGCAGGGACCAGTTGGGGTTAGGTGGCAGCTGAGGCCTGGCTCAGGAGGCATGCCAGGCTGAGTGTCCCTAGAGCTTGCTCTGCAAGCTTAGGCAAGGAGCACAACCTCCCTGGGCCTGGTCTGCAAATGGGACCATGAGGCTTCTTTAGATTCATCGTTGTTGCTGTGATGCTTAGTAAAGAGCTGCAGGTGGGCCTCGGGATCACCCTCCACCTGCCTCCCTGTGGAAACTGAGGTTGCATCAGTGTCATTCAGGTGACTGAAGGTACCCAAGAGCTCTACAACCAGAAGGCACAGGTTCCTATCCTGGCTCTGCCACTTGCCAGCTGTGCGACCTTGGACAAGTGACTCAACCTCTCTGGGTTTGTTTCCCCAGCTGTAAAACATTAATCATCACAGTATCTCCTTCATGGGAATGTTGTGAGAATTAAATAAGCTTTAAAATTCCTTAGAAGAGTGCTGGACATATAGATAGCACTCAATAAATGTTTGCCGTTGTTAATTATTATAACAAGTTATTACTGGGACACTATAGTATTATAATTAAGAGCAGGGGCTCTTAATTGAACCAGACTGCCAAGGTTCAAATCCTGGCTCTGCCTCTCACTAGCTGTGTGACCTTAGGCAAATGACTCCACCTCTCTAGGCCTCGACATTTCCCTCCGTAAAATGGGGAGGATAATACTCATGCCTTCTCACAGGGTTGCTGGGAAGAGGAAATGAATTTACATTTATAACATGCTTGGCCACACTCACGGTCAGCACTGCCTCCGTGTTGGCTATTAGCTGACGTTTTCCAGAAACCCTCTGTCATTTCCACAGCACTGGCTCTTGCCACTGCCAGCTTCCTTTCATTGAGCCTAAATTTAAACTGTAAAGGGAGTGCTTGCAGCCAGGGGACCAGAGTCGAAGGCCACTGTGATGTCCTCAGCTGGATTTCGCAGGTGTCCAATCTCATTTTCCCCGTGGTCCTCACGTGGTCTTCCTCCCCCGGGGGCCGGGCACGTCCTGCTGCTCCTCCCAGTACAGATGGCACCAGTGCTTTCTGGGCCAGAGGGAGGGAGGGCATGGGACAGGCTGCTCCTTCCCTGCTGGGGACAGGGTTCTACACCTAATTCATCCATTCACTCAGAAGACATCACGACTGCATCTCATGCCTCGGCCATGCTCTGTGCTGAATTCTTTATCTGAGGATCTCCCTGACTCTTCAAAACAACCCAAAGATACAGACAATTCTGGCTTCCCATGTCAGCTGACCTCAGGAAGCACACTGAGCTGGATATGTGTTGGATAAAGCGCACACCATCGGAATTCTCACCTCGTTCCTGGAATTCAATGCCCAAATGGATTGATGGAATCTGGTATCTCTTGCCTTCCCAATCAGATTAGGAGTGACAGGTACCCTGCTGTAGCCCATTTGTCAGACACGAGCACTGAGGCCCCGAGTGGGTAAGGTGCTAGGCAAGGATGCACAGCCGGGGCTGGACTCAGAGCCAGGACTCAGCTCCAGGTGTAACTGAGTCCATGGTCTGAGCTCTCATCTGCTCTGTAAAGCTTTCAGGGCCATAGGAAGATTTGGTGACAGCTGCCATAATGCGAGGCCATCCCCCTCAATGCACATAGACACCTCAGGAGGTGGGGCACTCGTTCCCCTACTTTACAGATGAGGAACTGATGCACAGAAGACACGCACAAGGTCAGAAGGCACCTTCTCTGGGGAGACCTTTAATTTCTTCAAAAACCCCAAATCTCCTGAGTGCTTCACCCATCTGCCCACACAGGCAGCTCCCAGATGGGAAGCCCTGGGCTGCACCTCTGCAGGCCGATTCTCACCAGCCTCAGACACTGCCCACTCACACTGGGTTTATCCGAAATAGAATGAGCCCACTTGTCCCCATCTGCCAGCCCCACCCCGGGTGCTTCCGACTATTTACTGCACCTGTGCTGGGTCAGCAAAAGTCGTATCACCAACATCCACGGCCCCTCCTTTGGAAATGACTCAGTTCATTCCTTAGGGGTTATTACCAGGAGGCAATAGAGGCTGATGGTAATGTGGGAACTGCAGTAAGAGAGTGGATTATAATCACAAAGACTATAGTATGGCCGGAACGCTAACCCAATAATCTCATGGGTAACAAAAGAAATGGGGTAGTGTGATGAGTAAAAGTACCACAGGATGATGGGTAGTGTTGAAAATATTATAGTATCATAAGTGAAATTTAAAAATTCCACAATATGGTAATTCTTAAAAACACCACATAGCATGATGGGTAATAATAAAGATATGATAGTATGGTGGATAACATGAAACATATTCTAGTATGACAGATTATGATAAAAATACTGCTGTATGTTTGGCAATGTTAAAATAGTATATGTAGTATATAGTATAATATAAACTGCTATACTATAGTGGGCAATGTTAAAAAGGCAAAAGTAAAATATAGTGGATAAAAAATAGTAGAGCGTGACGGATAATGCTGACACCCGAACTCTGGGAAGACAACAGGAAGAGCTCTACCTTACGATAAATTTTGTTGAGAACACAGGCTCTGGGAGGTAGCATAACCCAGGAGATGACGTTAAAAAGAGAGGCCCCACTGGATCCCAGCGTGCCTGGGCCCCAGCCTCCACCACGCGTGAGGGAGGCAGCCTGAGCCAGGGCCGAGCCACGAGACAGAGAGCCTAGGGGCCTGAAGGGTGTCACAGACCCTCCCCGCCCTCCCCAGCCCTCTTCTCAGCACTGACTCAGGAGACAGGACTGACACAGATTTTGTGAAGCCAAAGTATTTGGCAACATCTTTGTTACAGCCACTCCACCTTCCCCCCACTCACGGGGGGCAGGGCTCCATCTTCCACGTCCATGGGCAGCAGCCCATCCAGCATCATGACCTACACCAAAGTCACTGAGACATGTCTCCTGCATTGAATTCTGATGGATCACTTGGATAATAAGCGTAAAAGCTGTCAAAAGAAACCCACAGGCTCTGGCTGACAGCAGAGTATAGTGAATCATGCCAAGAACAGAAACAGCAGTCACACAGGCTTAGCTGGGTTCATATCCAAATTCCAGCTCTGTGACCTTGGTCATGTGATCTTACCTCCCTGAGCTTGGGTTTCCCCATCTGTAAACTGGGGATAGAAAGTGCCCTTACTCCAGAGGGTGGGTGGCAGGACTCAGTGAGGGATTCCACATAGGCGCAGAGGCCAGCTCCCAGCCTGGGTAAAGGAAATACACTGCACATTGCGTGGGGTGATGTGTGCGCGCTGCTTGCCATGGCTCTTTGGTAACTCAAGGTCTGGGATATCCCTGATCTCTAAGCCAAAGGACCTTAGGGCCCTGAAAAGTTCCAATTTACACCCATCAGAAGATGGTTCAGAGAAGTCCAAGACAACTGAAGCCAAAATGATGAAATGGTTCAAAAACACTGCAGATCCTTGCTGTTCAGGGCAGGCCCCAGACCGGCAGCGTGGGCCCCAGGGGAGCACTTGTTAGAAGTGAATCCCAGGCCCACCCCAGGTCTGCTGGTCAGGATTTGCACATTAGCAAGTCTCCCAGGTGGCTTGTGTGCACAGCAGAATTTGAGGAGCACTGCCCGAGGTGACACACTCCTATCTGTCCCCTCACAGGACTGAGGCTACTGGGCAGTCAGAACCCCACCGCTGGCCCCTGTGTGGAGGCCCTGCCTTGAGCCAGGCATGCCAGCAGCTGACACCTAGCACATTGCTCAATCCTTACAAATCTCCCTGTGGTGGGAGAAGGGCTCTACAACACCCTGAGAGGTAAATACTACTGTCATCCTGATTCCTTCAGCTCAGAGACAGGAAGGCACCTGCTGGAGGTCACACAGCATGGGCGGCAGATTGCACCCAGGTCTTCATGGAAGAGGCCTGCATGACCTCTCCATGTGCAGAAGGAAAAGCACTGGAGGTGGGAGAGGAGGTACTGTTTTCCTGCTGCCATGGGCAGTCAAGGCCCAGGCACAGAGCCAGCCTGTCCCCTACCTGCCATCTGTCCCTCCATCTGGTTGCCAGTGGATAAGAGGGGCGAGGGGGCCAGCAGGGCCTGGCTCACCTTTGTCCACCACCTCAAGGTGGATCTTTTTGACGACGCTGGTGTTGTGCTCATAGTTTTCAAAGAAGAGCAGGCGGTAGACATGGCATTCGTAGTCGCCTGAGTGGTTGTAGGTGACATTGGTGATGAAGATGGACAGGTCCTGCAGGTCCTTGGTGTCCCGGCTGCCGTTCCACACCACGCGGCCCTCAAAGCGTGCGTCCTCCTCCAGCTGCAGTGCCTCATTCTCATAGCGCAGGATCTGGGGGCGGCAGGGGCCCGGTCACTGCCTGGGCCCGACTCCTGCCTAGACTCTATTCTGTCCCTTGCCCCGACACACAGACACACAGCGGGCGCATGCACACTGGCTCGGCTTCCGTGACCCTAGACAGAGAGGGCACAGGGGGAGAGGTCGTGTCTGGGGTTGATCGTGCCCGGCTGTGCCCCTAGCCTGCAGACCACCTGCTGGCATACACAGCTTGTCCAGGCACCCCCCTTAGCCCCTGTTCGGCCTTCCTAGCCTTCATTCTCTACAGTTCTTCCCCGGCCACAGACACTGCAGGCAGGGACAGAGGCAGCCTACTTGGTCCCAGCTGCTGGAGAAATGGGCTCTAAAACTTTACAGTGCCCCCTCACATGTAATTAAAATCACACGTGGGGTAAAGGAGCTCTGTTTCTCTTCTGTGATGATTCTCCACGACAGTTTGCTGGCTGTAAGTAACGCCAGTGACATTTACTCTGTGCCCCGACCATGTGCCAGATACAGTGATTCAATCAGCCTTCACACAAACCTATGAGCTGGAAACCACCACAACTCCATCTCTTCAGAGGAGGAAACTGAGACCCAGACAGGCTCTGTGACTTGCCCAAGATCTCAAGTTGGCTGGGGGTGAGGCTGGAATTTGAATCCAGGCCATCAATACTAGCACACTATGGAAAACAGAAAATCCCTCCTATGGAAAACAGAACGCTGCCCCCGCCAACTCCCACATTGACGCCCTGCTTCCACCCCCATGCCAGGCGGCCACACACCTTGACAAACTCCTCTGTGCCCTTCTGGCGGAAGGTCCACTCCGTGAACGTCTCGGCGGTGGTCTCACTGCGGCGCTTGCAGGAGATGCACAGAATTTTGAAGGTCATCCCATACACGGCCTCGGTCTCTGAGTCCACCTCCACACAGCCCCCCCAGGCTGAGGAAACTGCGGGGACAGCAGGCTCAGGTCGAGCAGGGTCACCCATCACCCTAGGCAATGCCAGGCCCACTGGTGGCTGGCTCTCAGGCCCCTGGGAAACCATCTGTTTCCCCTCCATTGTGGTTACAAATAGGATGGGACACTAAGTCTGGCCCTGCCACTTGCTGCAGGCCCTTGGCAAGTCCCTTATCTCATCTGAGCCTCAGTTTACCTGAGTGAACAGTGAGGGAAGAGATCATCTTTGTTTCTGGAGGTTGCTGGGCAGATTCCAGAAATCAGGTAAGACCCTAGCATGGGGCCTGGCACACAAGAGACCTCCCAGTCAATTGGACTGTTACTGGGGTCACTAACTCAGAGTCTTTGCTACCCCAGTACTCCTTCAGAAGGCGGCTTGTCCAAGGTACTGCAGAATCTAGATGGTAAGTCTAGAATTCCAGCTGTGTTAGAAGTTCAAAGTGGAAGAGTTATTTCCATTGTTACTGCAAAACCAAGCAGGCCCAGAGAGACGGGTTGGGAGAAGGCAAGGCCTCAGAAGGGACTGTGGGCGCCAGGACCAGGGCAGACTCACACTCCAACCCTGCTCCTTGGTTCCACAAGTTCCTGTGCATATGCCCCCTCCCCTGCTTCTCCTGCCTCAGTCCCCTGTGCTCCCAAGCTCCTCCTTATCCCACCTCCTACCAACTTCTCAAAACTTGCTGAGCTCTTTTCCTCAGACACGGTCTTGGCACCCTCCCGCATTCCAGTCCCTTTGGGTCCCCCTCCACATTCTTACCGGCTACCTTCTTTCTGTCCCCCAGGGCTCACTAGCTATGCTGTGTCTCTCCAGATTCAGCTTAGGGTCTGTTCCTTCGTCTCTTACTCTCTTCCCGGTTAATCTTGGGGGTTTCTGGTCCTCATCTACTGTCTCTCCCAGTATCCCCGAGCTGATCTGACTCTGTCTCTCCATCTCTGTCTCTCTTAGGGGTCTCTCTAAAGGTCCCAACATTTTGTGTCCTCTTTCCAGGCCTTCCGGTTTCTCTCCAGACCTTTCCCTGTCCCTTTTTCAAACTCCATCTTTCTCGGCGTATCCATCTCTTTCCGCCTCTCCTAAGTTTCTCTCTTCACCTCTCAGGTTGTTCTCAACCTCTCTCAGCACTCCACAGCCCTCTCTCTGCCTCTCCTTCCCCCTTTCCTCCCCTCTCCCCAGGCTACCAGGGGGGCACTCTGTACTCCCGAGCCTCCGATGTCTCGCTCCCCTTCCCTTCCGTCTCCATCTCTCCGTCTCTGTCTCTCCTGTCCCGGTCTCCGGGCGCCGCCTTCCCGCACCCCCTCCCGCAGCTGTGGGTGTCACATTGCAGCCTGCGGGGCTCCGGGAGCAGCTGACTCCGCGTTTCCTCGCCCCCGGCTGGGTGCCCGCAGCCGCTAAGCTGTGCCAGCCCAGCGCCCGCCTGCTCTTGCCCACCCGCACCTCCGCCGCCCTCCTTGCCCCGCTCCCAGCGCGCGCAACTTCTGGAGCGGGCTTGGCCAGCCAAGAAAGGGGCGGGGGGATGCCCTCGTCCCGCTGTCCCGGCTCCAGATCGCGAACTCCGCCTCCCGGCCGGTGCCAAACTGTACCCCCGACCGCCGCGCCCCCGCGCACTCACCCAGCGCAGCGCCGACCACGAAGGCCAGCAGCGTCCCCATGGCTGCGCTGCGCGCGCTGCGCCCCCCTCCCGGGCCGCCGGTATTAATAGCCGGGCGAGAGACGGCGGGACCCGGCGGCGGTTAGAACGTCCCCGGGAGCGCGCGGGCGCAGCAGCTGCGGCTCTGGGACCGGCGAGGGGGGACGAGGGGGGGCGCGGCCCCCCCGCTCCGGTTACCGCCGGGGGCCCAGCCCCGGGGCCCGGCGTCCGGGCATCCCCGCCACGCAGGCGGCGGCCGCTGTTCTGGCTGCTGCGCTGGCGCGCGCAGCCGGACACATACGCCAGGCGCACCGACCCCGGCCCCGCTCCTGCTGGGGTGATCTGGGCCGCGGGCCGCGGTCTCCTGCGCACTGCAGCGGCGGCGGCCCAGGGAGGGAGGAGGGAGAGGGAGGGGGCGGGATGAATCACCGCGGGGGGAGGGCGCGGCCGCCCAGCCTTTGCCGCAGCGGCCCGGGAGGCGCCCGGCGGCGCAGGGACCGCGGCCTCTAGGCACCTCGGCTTCTGGGCACAGGGACCCCCAGCTTCGGAGTCTGGGAAAGGTCACCCCCAGAGTCACAAAAGGGCTTAGAGGGCGGTTTGGGCGCAAAGCTTCCGACTCCAAGTTCTGGAGGTCACCCTCATGGGACAGTGGGACTTGGCTGGAACCTTCAAGTGACCTCCTCCTCAGATCCCGGCATCCGGGACCAGAGGTGACTGTTAGGGACCCAGGTGGGCATGGCTGGGAGTGTATGTCTGGCCGTAGCTGCGAATAATACTCCAGACCACCCAAGCAGGAGAGGCACCCTGGACCCAAACCAGAGACGGGTTCGGAGGTGTCATGTTTCAGAAGGGCCTTCAAGAATCCCCTCCCCTGTCTCTGACGTCATCCTCCACTCCTCTCTGCTGCGCTCCACTGAGGTTGCCTGGGCGCCCTGCACTTACCAACCCACAAAGCTCATTCCTGCCTCAGGGCCTTTGCCTCTGCCTAGACCGTTGTGCCCTTCAGTGACCAAAGGCCTCCTTCTGTCCCCTCCTCCAGCTCTTGGCTCAATGTCACCTTGTCAGGTATTCTGTCCATTGCAGGGAAACTGCCTCCCCTTCCCTTACTTGACCTCCTTTACCCGTTTTTTGTTTTTTTTTCTTTTCCACAGCATTCGTCACTACCTGATGGTACACTTTTCTTTTATGTAGCTTTTCCACTCACTGTCCCTCCAGCCCTGGAATATAAGCTCTCCTAGGGTCAGGACATTGCCCCATGCACCACCTCCAACACTTGAACTGTGCCTGGCACACTGTAGGTGCTCGATAGATATTCAACAAATAAATAAATGCCAATGACAGAGCACTTCAATATGCTGGATCTACTTCCACCTCCCAAACTTGAAGCAACTTCTACTATTATCACCATTTTACAGAGATGAAACAGGCTAGGAGAGGGTCACTCTCTTGCCTAGGCCATGCAGCTGGCCTCAGGTGGATCTAGAATCCTTCCCTGGCAATGGCAGGTGGCTCATCCTATTGGTAGGTTCTGCCAAATGGAGAGGATGAGGTTGGGGGCTCTGGCTGTCAGGACCAGGGTGGGAGTGAGACTTTTGGCTAGAGGTGGATGCTCAGGTCCTGGCCTCCCATTCTGGGCAGCATGAAGCTCCAGAACCCCCTTGGCCCAACCTTACCAGGCAAGAGGAACCAGGGTGTGGGGCAGGCCTGGGGCAAAGGGGCAGGAAGCCAGGGACACCGAACACCTTTGTGGTCTGGGCCTCTGTACCAGCACCTCCTGGGCTGTGAAATTCCCTGCAGAAAATAACCCCCTTGTTGTCCTGAGCCCTCCCACCGGCAGGGGTGGCAGGCAGGGGCACAGTGAGGACAGGCCTGAGGCACCAGGAAGGGGTACCCACTTGGAGCCCTACAAGCTGATGTTTGCTGAGAACCTATGGGTTTAGTGCTATTCTAAGCCCTTTACTAGTATTAACTCACTTAACTCTTCCTACAAGGTGGGTGTGACCCTTATTCCATTTTATAGATATGGGAAACTGAGGCTCAAGGTGAGAACTTGCCATGATCACATAGCCAGATAGGAAAGGCTGGCTCTGCCTTTCACCACTGTGGTCCATCCTGCCTCTCTCCAACCCCTTCTACAGTCCTGTGCCCCAAGCCATCAATTAAGATTCTTACAGCCTGACTGTGACACATCAAAGGTCCTCTTTACCCCTCACTCACTCTAGAACCAGGGCAGGGTTTGAGACAGATCTGGGTTCTAAGGACCAGAGACTGCCTCAGAGCCCATTTTCTTGTTAGTAAGACAGGGGTCGGGATGGCACAGAGCCTTTTCCTACTTGGTACTCACTACATGAGTCACTTTCTCCTCCCCTCAACTTTTCTGCAACAAGAGGAACATTTATGGAATATTGACTCTGGGCCAGACCTTGCTATAAGTGGCCTCATTTATTACCTCCTTGAATCTCATAATAGCAGCTCTCAAAGCGGGGTCCCTGGACAAGTATCATCAGCATATCTGGAAACTTACTCCAAGTAAACTCTCAGCCCACCCCACACCCACTGGGGCAGAAACTCTGGGGGTAGGGTCCAGCAGAATGCTTTGTAATGAGCCCTCCAGGAGAGCCCGACGCAGCTGAAGTCGGAGAACTACTCGGTTCTAACTACCCTGGGAGACAGGTGCTGTTCTTACGTCTCTTGTAGAGAATGATAATCTGAAGCTCAGATACCCTGACATGCCCTGGTCTGCCCCCACAGCCCCTGCACTGGGCGCTGATGATGCAAAGCTTGTGAGATTCTGGGGAATCCTGATGGTATCAGTGACATGGCCCCAGAAAATGAACAGCTCCCCCCACTCCCCGCTGCAGCAGGATCCTCCCACCTGCTCCCAGGGCCCTGCAGACACAGCCACAGCCGGTTCCAACCCTTTATTGGGGCTTTGTCAGCCCCAAATAAATATAATACATTAAACCCAGAGCTGAGGGAATCGTGCACCCCAGAGGCACCCCCCATAACCCCAGCTGGGCAAAATAAGTTAGCGGGGAAGGTGTGGCCTGCCAATGGCCAGGCCAGCTCCCTGGCTGGGCAGGCGACGGCTGCTGGACTCGCACACGCTGATCTAAAGTGCATCTTGGTTCTGTGGTCCCCATGTCTGTGTGGTCCCTGGCCAGGCCACTTGGAGGGGTGGGTGGGAGGCTCCCGGCGCTCACACTGTGCCAGCAGTGGTCGCCGAGGTTCTGGGTCCATCTGCCCATTTGGGGGAACAGCCACATGGCTAGATGTCCTCAGGAAAAGCTGTCATCGGGCCGTGGCTGGGAGTCAAAGGAAGGGTCTGAGACGCTGATGCCTTGATGCAGCTTCTCCAGTGAGAACTTCATCTGGGGGAAGAGGTGGGCAGGGTGAGGGCACAGACTGGCATGGGGGAGGTCGCCCCTCCAGCCTGCAACTGAGGAACTGCAGAAGGTGCAGAGAGGCCACGGCCGGCCACTGCCAAGGTTGCCCTGGGACAAGAGCAGAGTCATACCATACCCAGTTTAACTCCTCAGAGGCAGCGGATGGAAGTTCAAGTCCCAGCTTTGCTACTTACTGGGTAACCCTGGGCACAGCCTTTAACCATGACATACCTGCTTCACAGGGTTATTTCAGGGGCCTGGGTGAAAACCCAGGACATGGCACACAGGAGTCACTCAGGGCAGGTTAGCTATTCTTATTCCCTGCTGTGCCACCGTGGACAAGCCCAAACTCCTCAGGCATCAGTGTCCCTACCTACTAGATGGGGGACAGCAAGAGCACCCCCTCACAGCCTGGCTGGGAGGAGCAAATCAGTTGGTCACTTTAGCACTTACAAAAGCCTGGCTCACTCTGTATCTGCTATTAGCATTAATTTGTGAAATCAACCTGTGCCCTTGGCATTTGAGAGAGGAAAATAATCAGAACTGAACTCAGGATGGGGAGTCCCTGCCTCTCTCTCTGAACCATGGGGCCCGAGCCTCAATCCCCTCCCACCCTGTCTTGTAGGGCCCCTCCCAGCATAAGCCACTCCTTCCCAGCATGATTTCGGGGTATGAAGCCCCTAAAGGTGGGCCTCAGTCCATAGTGACCAGATCCGAACTTCACTGCTACCCATGAACTTAGGTTCTGATGCCCTTGGGCACCCAGCCAATGGCAGCCACTACCTGGGCTCCCCGTGCCCCCTCCTCACCTCAGGTGCTTACTCCAGTGCCTGCCATTTGTGCTGACCCACCACATTTACTGAGCACCTACAGAGTGCTGGGACTGGCCACACACTAATATGAGCAAGCACACATAAAGGGTTTCCTACGAGCTCGGCACTATCATTCCCACGTTAACTCATTCAATCCTCACAGCAGCCTTTGAGGTAGCATCAGTCATTATTCCAGTTACAGAGCGGGAAGCCACAGTGATGAAGTCACTTGTATAAGGTCACACATTAGAATTTGAACCTGGCCATCTTTAACAGATGCTGACCCTGAACTATAGGGGGTGCCTGGAGCAGCAGCCCCTTCTGGAAAGGAGACCCCAATAGCCTTTGGAGAACCTCTCTCCCACACTCATGTGACCCCTTAGTCACTCCAAAGGGAGGAAGGGGCAGTTCAGGGACAAAGCCTCTCCTACTCCTGATGGCTATGACTGGTTCAGAAATGGACATGTGACCCCAGCAACGAGTGAGAGAGCGCCTCCCTTTGGATGTTGGCATGGAGCTGCAGGCACCACCTTGGCCATCCTGTGGAAGAGGATGTCCAAAACAAAGCCAACTCTGGGGGTGGGCAGAATCAAGAATGGTATGAGAGACAGAGTCTTGCTACTATTAAGTGGCTAGATCCAGCCATGCCTGAAGTCGGACACCTCTAGACTTTTTTCCCAGGATGAGAACCAATAAATTGTATCTTCCATCCTGCTGATTTTTCCAGCAATTCTGGGAGGTGGGGACTATTTTACAGAGGAGGAGACAGGTGCGCATCTGGCACCCCTTGGCATTTGAACACAGGATCCCACAGCCCCAGAGCCGCACCTCATCCAGGAGCTCCACAGAAGCCCGCAGGATCTGCCTCCACTTGTGCACCTCGACGCTGTGGAACTGCTTCTGCAGGGCCAGGATCTCTGCCCACTCCGTGGCTGTCTGGGGGAACTTGCTGTGGGTGATGCAGGGCCTGAGTAGGGCCTTGGCCCCTCCAACTTTCTCCAGCTCCCGACCCCCTCAGGCTACCCACTCACCCCTTGGCCAGGGCCAGACTGTGCCATGACTCGAAGGTGTGGGCCGTCCTCTCCAGGGACCAGAGGCGGTAAAAGAGAAGGACATTCAGGGCGATGAGGATGATGAGGCT